GATTTTCTTGAGAGCTTTAGAACTTTAAGGCTTCAAGGTTTTGGTGTGTCTTCTTCAAGGGCCGTTGGGGCTTGATCTTGAAGGAGGATTTGACGAAGAACGAAGAGTGCTTTCTCCATTCTTCGGGATTCTTGGGAATTTGGGGGTTGGATGCTTGAGAGCTTTAGAGTTTCAAAGCTTCAAGGATTTTGGATGTGTGGGGAGTATTCTCTTCCATTTTGGGAGTAGAGAAATGTATTTGTGAATTGGTGTCTCTTCCTCTTGATGGAGAAGCCTATTTATAGGCTTTGAGAGTGAATCACCACCATCCATTTTTTTGGTGAAGTGAGTGGATGTTGTGGGTGAAGTAAATGGAGTGGGTAGGTGAAGTAAGTGTGTGAGGTTGGTAAAGTAAATGGAGTTGGTGGGTGAAGTAAGTGGATGTTGTAGGTGAAGTAAATGGAGTTGGTAGGTGAAGTAAGTGTGTGAGGTTGGTGAAGTAAATGGAGTTGGTGGGTGAAGTAAGTGGGTGTTGTAAGTGAAGTAAATGGAGTTGGTAGGTGAAGTAAGTGTGTGAGGTTGGTGAAGTAAATGGAGTTGGTAGGTGAAGTAAGTGTGTGAGGTTGGTGAAGTAAATAAATGTTGTAATTTTAATACCTTGGTTAACATTTATTTCACTGAAATTTCGATGTCTACAAGGTGGTTCCGACTCGTAGGTGACCTACGATTATTTGCCCAGTCTTCACGTGATCGTAGCACTTGAGCGTATTTATTTACACCCAGTCCTGTCGTACAGACCACTTTAGGTGGTTCCGACTCGTGTGCAGGTATGGTTAGTGAGTTGGGGATTTGAGCTCTAGATTTAGCCGTACAGGTCACGTTAGGTGACTCCGGATGACATGTTATTTGCATTGTTTGGCATTACCTGGGTTACTTACATTTTATGTGGAGGCATTCGACATGGCATATTTCTGAGCATGTTTTCTATATATGTGTATATTCTATTTTTTGGGAAACTATACAGGTTTTACGGCGAAGGCTTAGAACTTTTGATAATAAAATGATTTTGAAAGCTTTGTTTTTACCCACTCACACTTTCTGTTTTGCGCCCTTTCAGGTTCTAGTTTGGATTGCTCTTTTGGTGGCTCACGAGGAATTCATGGCATATCTGACATATTATCACCAGTGTAGGACCCCCTCTGGGTGTGTTTAGTTAGTATTTGTTCCTCTGGACTGCACTAGGTTTTCTGTGCTCTGAATATTGTTTTTCACACTTACGCTTGCACATGTATGTTAACTACCCTGTGTGTAGTTTAATTTTTATTTGTTCGTACTTTTATTATTATTCTTAGCTTCCGCACTGTGCATATGTTTACGTCACCCTCACGTGACGGCCAGCATGCCCTGATTTCGGTCGGGGTGTGTCATAAAGATCATCAATACAAAAAAATCAATTAAACTAAAATGATCATCTACACAAAAAAAAAAATCAAATCAACTAAGGTTGTTTAGTAAAACAACAGTAGCAAATAGATATATAGTTCGTATACTCTATGGTTTTTATATTATTTTATGACCAAATGGTATCATATCTATTGATTTTTTTCATATGATCTTTTACATAATGACTTATAATATGAATAATTTCGATAATATATTAAAAGTTCCATGAATCATAACAAAAGCCAGACCCAAACAAATGATAAAGAGCTTGTTATGAATTTTGAAGCAATCTCTTTTGGTCATCACACATAATTCAGATTGTAGAGATGTATAGTAAGAAAACGTCAATTACGATAAAAAAAAACTTCAATATGTTTCTGTAGGTTATCAATGACATTGTGAGACTGGAAGATAATATCCTTTCCTGTCATGAAATATAGATAACCACGAGCAAAAACGCCTGTGCTCTGCTGCGGGGAGGGCCAGAAGTATGATATTGTATCATCTGATTTATTTTGCTATTCCTATTCCTTTTTGGCATCATGTGCAAAAAATGTAAACTCCAAGCAAGAGATTAACTTCGATGCATAATTGTTAAAATGAGTATAAAGCTAACTTGTAATCACAATGGCAATCCATATTATAGATCATACATAAACACTGACTAAAACATGTTCATCCATGCATACAAAAAGAAAGCACATAAACAGTTTGTAGTATAGAAATATCCATAGCCAACAAAAACAGGCATATTGTAGCAGCATATATTTTAAGAAAGGCCATCCAATGTTTCGTGTATAGGACATTACTCATTTAATAATATAATAACTCGCAAAATTTCGAGATACAAAACTCTGATAGTAGAAAGGACACAGTGAATGATGATAAACACATTATATCGTAAAAGAAAACTACCTCAACAGGCCATCCATCCACCACAAATACATCTAAAGAGTAGCCATCGGTTGTCAAGAAGACGTGCTTCACAGATGTTAATTCCTAAATCTGAAAGGAATGAAGAATGCTACAGAAAAATGACATAAGTTAGAAAGATGCGACCATACTATGGTTCCACTTTTGCAGTTATCTTGGATTCAACTGTAACACCCCGTCCCTAACTTTACGATTTTATAAATTTTAAGAGAGTGAATTGACGAAAATGCTCTAGAGACGAGATTGTTGACTTTTGTTGACCGTCATTTTGGGACGTGTATGAACTGTTATTTTACCATAACCTCGAAATACTTGACAATACGAACGCGTAGGCGCAAGTGAAATCGAATTTGGAGCTACGATTAAGATTTTACGAAACTATGAAACTTGAAAGTGTTTTATAAAATTTGAATTTTGGGTATTTTATTATTTTAATATTTTTTGAGTGGATATTTTAAATATTTTATAATTTTTCTGGTCTATGGGACCCACACCCACATAAGCTCTCCACCCATTTCACTCCACGTTTCCATTCTCCCTCTTCTCCTCACTCTCCGGATTTCATCTCTCATTTCCCTCTCTTTCTTCTCTCTTTCTCTCAAACTATCCCTCTATTCTCTTTGTAAAAATGATGGAGCCGAGTAGCACCATCACTACCCCACCGTACTCCGACGAACCTCATAGCCGCCCAAACCAAAAGAACCACGAGTTTCATCTCGTCCTCACGAGCCCAGAACACCCAACCTTATCTTGAGCTTCCTTTTGGATCTTTGAGATTAAAACCCAAGTCGGGATGTGACCTTTTAGGTCATTTTCCAACCAAACGACGGCGAACTAGCCATGGAGAAAGTTTCCGGCGATATTTGAGGCTTTCAACGCATTTTTTGGCCAAACCACGATGATTTAGCTATCAAGAAGGAAACCAATCTCTTCGGCTTGTCGAGAGGTATGAATTTTGTTTTTGAATCACTCAATTTCATTGAGTATTGACAAAGTTATGGACGTTTAAAGTTTTTCATTTTTTCGACGATTTCCCTAGTTTTTTCAGCGGACCAGTCACCTTTCAGACCATTTGCTGGCCATCTCCAGCCACCATTGGACTTACAAATAGGGATAATCTTATTCTACACTTTCCTATCTTCATTTTGATATATTATGGGTCGAATTTAGTTGAGAAACGACGAAATTACGAAGCTTTGAAATTTGCCCAAACTTCCGGCCAAAATTCCAGTTTCTAGTGAAGTCCGGCGACTTGACTTGGCTTGGCTCGGCTGAGTGAGCCGTTGACTTCTGGTCAGCGTTGACCGTTGATCGATCAATGTTGACTTTTGGGTTGACTTTTTCTGGTTTCGGCCAAAACCCCTCCCCCTCCTAGGCTAATTTCGACTTCCCGGGTCCCTTTTTGGCATCCATTTAGTGAAATTCTAATGTTTTAATGTAGTTGACCATCAGAGCGTCTCGGTTGACTTTTTAGGGTTGACTGTTGACTTCTACGAAAATTACTCAGACCATTCTTAGTGTATTTCGACATGTTGATTCCAAATCCGCCATCTGTTTCTCCAAATTCAAATGTTTTAATTGAGTTTTACTAATGGGTCCCAATATTATGCTTAAGTGCGATTACTATCGGAGACTTCGGCCTTCCTAACTCGGACATAAGTGACATCACAAGTACTTGTGAGTGGGTCTTTTCTTTTATTTAGTATATATATAATTGTTAGTTTCCATTTATACATTTCATAAAGAGTTTTCTACAATACGCCTAGATTAGCGTGACGTTTATAAGTTTTAGCGCATTGATAGAAATTATGACGTTATGCTACATCCTACGGGATGCATAGGTATACGTATTATTATTGATACCTTAATTATATTTATGGACGTGAATAATATTATGTTGACTAGAATTATCGAATCATTGTGGCATGACTATATTTATGTTATCTGCTCATCGTTGCACCGATGTCAATACTCACCCGGGCCAGGGCCAGTTTTTCACATGTATGTGCACATCGCACTGTATGCTCACTTTGGATCCATTGTAGGTGCCATAGATTGCTATAGGCAATTAGGACTCGTATGTGTTGCGCATAGTGATAGTCTTCACGTGATTATAGTACTAAAGTGTATATTATTGTTACTCACAATCTTATTCATGTCAGAATATCTCTGCATGAACTCGTGTGTTAACATGTGTCGATGATCACTCGATATGATATGTTTGCTTATGCGAGATTATGTGATTACGGACGTCATGTGTTTACTTACGAAATATTGTGCTGTATTGAATTCTTGAGATATTGCACGTTACGGTAAGTAGTTTCTTACTATATGTGGTATGTATATTTTGGAAACTATACTTATTTTATGGCAAGGGGTTATTACGTTTTCGAAAAGGTTTTTACAAAACTTTATATTTTAGGCCCACTCACCCTTGTTTTTCGCCCCTCTAGGTTTAGCAGCTGCGCTTTTGTGTCGACGAGGAATCTTGACAATCTCAATATAGGTGGTTACCTTCGATGGTATAATTCTCATTCTACCTTACTGTACTTTACTTATGTTCTGACATCACGTGTGCAATTGGTTCATTTCCGCTCACATGCGCACTCATGTAAATTGCTTGTTTGAAGTAAACTATTTACAACTTCAGTAAACAGTTTTTTATGTTCTCTTACAAATGCAGTCATCCTATTCAAAGTGACACACTATAAGCATACAAGAATAATACTTACAATGAATCCGCAGGCACGTCTGCTTCATTGTGTCAAAGAAGTATATGAGGTAAGTTGCCAGCAGAACTTATTTCAATGAGTCACGATTACATGCTTAACCAACTAGGGGAGCCTAGTGCACATACAGAAGTATGAAATGTTATTCAATCTCAATCTGTTGCGGGGCTTCTCCTTCTGGTTTTAACCCATCAGCAACAATATCTTCCTCCGTGATTCCAGAGGCTTCCACAGTCCTTGAAACCCAATCCTTGAGTGGATCTTCATTCAAATCAAGCCGTAAAAGACCAGCAAACATCCCTCCCATGAAGGCAACTGGCTCCTACATGATGAGATAAGCAGAGAAAATCATGGTACTAATATTACCATTTACATACAAAACAATGTGCATGCTCATGGGAAATCCTCTATGTACTCGCACATATTTATAGAAAACACAGTAGAGGCCTAGAAGGCTGAACAAATGAGCGATACGGTCAATTAGTGACTCATAAGAAATTGATCAAAGAGTTACTTTTAGTTTTACCAAAGTAAACACTGAAGTAGCATGGATACTTGCTTTTAGAAGATACTCATGATGCAATCCAAATATGGACCAGGCAAAATATAATGCAGTGATTTCACGTGTGGTTACTTGACCTCTTGCAATGAAAGGGGAAATCGTCTTTCAAAAAGAGACACGAAGTGATGCACAATTTCACAAGGATGAAGCTAGGAATATAGAAGAGCAATTTAGCTGTACAACTGTTGACGTGAGTCATAAATCAGTTAGTATTGGAATGTAATTTGGTTTCCTAGATTAAGGGGATCCTTACCTTACTAGTTTAGGTTAAACTCTCTTTTATTATTCCTTGTACTACAAGGTGTGGATGTATATATATTGCCTCCATATTGGAGAGATAATACAATAAGCAGAATTTATGATCTTTACCTTGGCATCAGAGCCGGGTTTTATGGCCTGGTATTTTTTCTCCAACCTTAAATTCAAACTCAATGATTCGAACTTTAATATTTGGTCGAAGATGATGGAAGTTCACACGGAAGGATTAAATAAGATGGGTTATCTCAATGGGAAGACTCCGGCTGTGGATGAGACAGAACCCGGGTTTTTAAAGTGGCACACTGATGATGCAATCGTCCGAGGATGGCTGCTAAAAACTATGGAACCACATCTGTTAGGGCTATTCATTGAGTTACTAACGGCACATGATATTTGAGAAAGCGTTAGTTAGATGTTCTATGATGTGGCAGACGAGTCCCAGTATTATGGGCTATGATGCAAGACAACAAGAACAAGACATAATGGACGTCCAGTGAACAACAACATATCAAAAGGTGGTATCAACGTTTTTTTTTTTAATATTTTATTGGACAACAATTTAAGGGAAAAAAACAAGAAAGAGCAAAGCAAGTAATAAGAACGAAATTTTGAGGCCCAAAAGGCTTATAATAGAGATTTTTCATCCGATGTCCATTGCATAAGAGAGAGTAGACACTGTATTATAAAAATGCAAGAATCGGTTGGCAACAATCTAACCTCTCAGAAACCCAAAAACATCCTCACAAAATCATACAATAAATCATCAAAAAAATAAAAAAACACCATGACAAACGCGTAGACCAACATCCAAAGTATCCGTAAAATCAACAACACAGATTCAAACATCATTAAACCAAATTATGCATGGGTAATCTATGAATTATTGAAAAATGGGCGGTGGGTGTAGACAGAGGTAGTAGTAGCTGTAACAAGTACCTTAAGCGCTTCTCTGAGAATGGGTTCTTCGCTGGGATTGAAGAAAAACGCCTTAATCCCACTGCAGTTCCCCAAACGCACTTTTCTGCTGCTGCTGCTGCTTCTGATGGGAACCAGCTCCTTCGGTGATGTCGATGGTTTAATAAACCCAGGGCCAAGCTTCTTTGATTTCCACTGTTACCCAATTGTCAATTACTCATCAAAATTGATAAGCAGATGAAGAAGAATAGGAAAAAGAAAATTTGGGCCGTCGGATTATTCACTCACGAGTGCACACGAAGGAGAATTCACAAGAAACACAGACATGTTGACCAACTTGAACGCCTTCTACTGTCTTCTCCGGTGTTGATGGCTGGTTCAGTGGTTCTTATTCCGGACTGGTAGATTTTTGCCTCTCGCTTTATTTTAAGGCCATTTTCGCTTCATACAAATACTTTGGGGCTGTGCACAATTTACCCTGCCAGGTTACTGTAACGTAAATTCGCAAGTTAAATTATAATCTAGTGGTTTTCCGTCTTCGGCAACAATTTTTTATCCCATCCTTTAATATAAAATATTATTTTATCAATGTTCCATAAGCATTGTGCTCAATTTCTCTTTCGCTTAAGCTTTGTTCTACCAGGTTTTCTAAACAAGATCGTGAAATCATTGATTGATGAATACTATTAAGGAAAAACTAATAAAAATGCTTTAAAACTTACACTCTTAAATAAAAGTATCTTAATAACTTTATTTAATTGTTAGGACAACACAACATCAAAACGTCTCAATAATATTGATTCAAGCAATGAGTTTCCTGATTTGCCCCTGATGGCAAGCCTTTGCCCATTTATTTGGTCCGTTTCACTCTAAAAACATAGCAACTGCTGCTTGTGTTCTTCCATATCATTTCCTTCTTTCCAATCTTCATAAGTCTTTGATACGGTAACGAAATCGTGCAAGGTCAGAGTCTACGAGTTCGTATCGACACCCTCTTTCTTCTAATACAAGGCTCACACGTGGAAACTCAAGTACCAGGGAGATCAAGCTCTCCAAAGATGACCTTTTTCCTGCGATTTTACCAATTTCCTACTAAACATGACGGAATTAGTCTTCAACTTAAGAGTTTAATCCCCTCCTCATGGCATCTTTTCCATATAAGTACTTATCAAAATTGATACTTTCAAATTTGGTTCTTCAAATAATGACAGTGTTCAGTTCTAGAAATAGTGGCAGTAGTAGCGTTCATTTCTAAATAGTGGCAGTATTCAATTTTAGGAATAGACAGTTTTTTGTTATAAAAATATTGAAAGTGGTAGTGTTCAGTTTTAGAAATAGTGACAATGTTCAATTCTAGAAATAGTGGCAGTGATAATGTTTAGTTCTAGAAGCAGTGACATTATTTAGTTTTAGAAATAGTGGCAGTGACAATGTTAAGTTCTAGAAATAGTCATATGTGGGACCATGATTTTCCAGGACTGAAGTAAAGCTGATCCAAATACAATTACCTCATAAGTTCGGTCTTGGACTCACAGCTTCGGGGAAGCTGGATCATACGGAGTAACGGTGCTACCATCACTCTGTTTTGGGGCAATAGGAGGAGTCCAAGCGATTTCGTCAGATGACCATACTTATTCAGCAAGACACGTGATCTGATCCTGATACGGACCCAATCAGATCCTTATAAGTCTTGAAGTTCATACAATCTAGGAATTGACATGCACAACAAGTAACCACAACACCTAAGAGGGTACAATATCTACTTCTAGATATCATCTAGAATTTTTCTGGATTAGAACAAGGATCCTATCCTAAAAAGATATTTCTCCCTATGATATAAATACACTCATCGAGGGTTCATTTATGGTAATGCAATTTAAACACTTCAATTATCTTACCCACTACTAGAGTATAAATTTATTCCCTAACTTGACCGTAGGGGAGCCTTTGGCAGGCACAACTCCTCCCTCCCCCTTGGTGCCATCTTAGGCTTGCTCACGGTTGTTTACTATTCTACAGGTTGTTCGAGTTTGTGCACAACCACCACTTACAACGATGTGCAAATTTGGTTCCAACATTGTAGTGGCAATTTTGTAATTAATCTCTTGCCCTACTAGAGTATAAAATTATTCACTAACTTGACCGTTGGAAAGCCTTTGGCTTGCACACTTCATCATCCCCCCCCCCCCAGGGTGTGGTCTCATGCTTGCTCATGGTTGTTTACTGTTTTGCAGGTTGCTCGAGTTTGTACACAACCATCACTTATGACGGTGTGAGAATTTGTTTCCAACATCATAGTGGCAATTAATCGACGTTTGTTTAACGAATTAGGGGCAGAGGTTGGAAGATAAAATTTGGATGTTTTGGGTTGGTCTTTGCTTCTAGCCCATGAGTTTTTTATGCTTAGTCCATTTTTCTTTTGTTCTTTTCATTATATAAAGTTTTTAGAATGCCTTCGGTTAAACAAAGTATGTAGGAGTATTTTTCATTAAAGCTCACAAGAGCAAATCAGTATTTCCAGCATTAATTCTTAAATGTCACATTGAACAACCAATAAAATAGGACACTGGACTAGAATAATTAAAAATAGTGGACCACGTAGAATTATAACTAATTAAATATATGTCCTTGCCATTTTAAATTTCAAATAATAAGATTATGAAACTTATAAATATTTTAATCATGAAACTTATAAATATTTTTGTCACATCCCGGCCCGGGGTGGACCACTTTCCGGGTCCGACTCCACCACCGTAGCACGATATTGTCCGCTTTGGGCTTACCAATCCCTCACGGTTTTGTTTTTGGGAACTCACGAGCAACTTCTCAGTGGGTCACCCATCATGGGATTGCTCTAGCCCAAACTCGCTTAACTTCGGAGTTCCTACGGAACCCGAAGCCAGTGAGCTCCCAAAAGGCCTCGTGCTAGGTAGGGATGGGAATATACATTTAAGGATCACCCCTGGGCAATGTGGGATGTCACAATCCACCCCCCTTAGGGGCCCGACGTCCTCGTCGGCACACACGCGACCAGGGTTAGGCTCTGATACCAAATTGTCACATCCCGGCCCGGGGTGGACCACTTCCCGGGCCCGACTCCACCACCGTAGCACGATATTGTCCGCTTTGGGCTTACCAATCCCGGCCCGGGACGGATCACTTCCCGAGCCCACTCCACCATCGTAGCACGATATTGTCCGCTTTGGGCTTACCATTCCCTCACAGTTTTGTTTTTGGGAACTCACGAGCAACTTCCCAGTGGGTCACCCATCATGGGATTGCTCTAGCCCCTTTCTCGCTTAACTTCGGAGTTCCAACGGAACCCGAAGCCAGTGAGCTCCCAAAAGGCCTCGTGCTAGGTAGGGATGAGAATATACATTTAAGGATCACCCCTGGGCAATGTGGGATGTCACAATTTTAATTATGAAACTTTGGCCATGTTCGATGAGAGTTTTTAAGTCCCAAGGGAGTGATGTCAAGTTACGAAGTAAAATATTATATAGAGGGGATTAGAAAAGTCTTCTATGTGTACAAAGACATGTGTGAAGGATGTGTAAATGACATCTCTCAAGGATTAGCAAATCCCTCTTATATGCCTATGCAATGCCCATAAGAAGTTTTTCTAATCCCTTCTTTGTTGCATTTTATGATCAATTCCTTAATAACTTTACATTAATCCTTTGGAACTTGGAAAACCCTCGTTCAAACATTGCCCTAGGGATGTTGGCTATAGTTCGTCAGAGTGTGGGTGGGGAAGGGTCCATGAAAATGACAATCTTTTATTTTCTAATTATTATTAATATAAATTAGTTTAAAAAGGTAAAAGTACTTTTGTAATTCTCATTGTTTTATAATTATTTTAAAGTTTTTATCCCAAAAGGTCTCTGAGAATCCCCCGACATAGTAGATGTCACATTCCAACCCGGGCCCCCACCACTTCTTGGGCTCGACTCCATCGTAGCATGATATTGTCCGCTTTGGGCCCCTACCACACCCTCACAGTTTTGTTTCTGGGAACTCACACGAGAACTTCTTAGTGGGTCACCTATCTTGGGATTGCTCTCATGCGAACTCGCTTAACTTCGGAGTTCCTACGGAACCCAAAGCCAGTGAGCTCCCAAAAGACCTCGTGCTAGGTAGAGATGGGAATATACCTATAAGGCTTACAAGATCCACTCCCCTGGGCAATGTGGGATGTTACAATCCACCTCCCTTAGGGGCCCGACATCCCCATTAGTACACATCCGGCCAGGGATTGGCTTTGATACCAAATTGTCACATTCAGGCCTAGGCCCCCACCACATCCCAGGCTCGACTCCACCGTAGCACGATATTGTCCGCTTTAGGCCCCTACCACACCCTCACGGTTTTGTTTCTGGGAACTCACATGAGAAGTTCCTAGTGAGTCATCTATCCTGGGATTGCTTTCGCGCGAACTCGCTTAACTTCGGAGTTCCTACAGAACCCGAAGCCAGTGAGTTCCCAAAAGGCCTCGTGCTAGGTAGAGATGAGAATATACATATAAGGCTTACAAGATCCACTCCCCTAGACAATGTGGGATGTTAAAGTAGATCTTTCTCAAATGGAGTGTAAATCGCCTTCATACCGTCCGATTTGCAATTTATAGGTGCACCTAATGCCTGATAAGCACTTGGATGGGCCGTATACCTGTCGGCTACATACTTTAGGAGTTGCCATTACCAAATAAGCGCTTTTATATTGTCATTGAGATTTATGCAGTCTTCAGAAGGTGACCATGATCTTGGTGATGCCGGCAATACTTGGTATTATACCTTCATCATCAGAAACTAGGTTGTACTCTTTGAGTGGTGGGGAGTTGTCGTTTTACAAGAGGGAACATCTCTCTTTAAGACATTCATGGGGCTGTAAAATATGTACATGTCATACTGCTTGAAGCAACTTTCCATGCTAGGCTAATAATCATACTTAATCTTTTTTGGTGGACTATCGTATACGACTTTCTATTTCACTTTAGTTAGTGCACTCGGAAGGTTCGTTCTTTTGCCGGGGCGATGATTTGCTTCCTTGTTTTGTTCAGTTGCTCAGCTCGGGAGTAGATAGTCACTTTATGGGGTAGGCCTATAAAGGTTTCTAGAGGATTGGTTAAATGGAAGTAGAAGTCTCCTCTGGTAAATTTTTCCATGATGGCATTATGGGCCATTGCCTCGTTGCATCTTTTGCATTTGGCATTGCCAATTACTAAGGTGATGCCAATTGATGTGTACTGTCTCTTGGAGATAATCATATATGTGTTAAGAAAAACTTGTCTCAGCCCTGAGACAATCTATTTGAACCAATCTATTTGAACCAATCCCGAGCTGTTCATTTGAGGGTGGTTGGGAATAGCCTACATAAGTAAACCTTTCTAGGTGGTCGTATAGATCAGTAAGTCTGTCACAACTTTGCATTTTGAGTGCCCAGGTAGCCTTATCCTTTAGCTTATCGAGCAGTTCCTTGG